CCAATGACTGGAAGTTAGCTAATGTAACACCAATATTTAAAAAGGGCTCTAGAGGTGATCCCGGCAATTACAGACGGGTAAGTCTAACATCAGTACTGGGCAAATTAGTCGAAACAATAGTTAAGAATAAAATTGTCAGACACATAGAAAAACAAACTGTTGAGCAATAGTCAACATGGTTTCTGTAAAGGGAAATCGTGTTTTACTAATCTATTAGAGTTCTTTGACGGGGTCAACAAACATGTGGACAAGGGGGATTCAGTGGACATAGTGTACTTAGATTTCCAGAAAGCCTTTGACAAGGTCCCTCACCAAAGCCTCTTACGTAAATTAAGCTGTCATGGGATAAAAGGGAAGGTCCTTTCATGGATTGAGAATTGGTTAAGACAGGGAACAAAGGGTAGGAATTAATGGTAAATTCTCAGAATAGAGAGGGGTAACTAGTGGTGTTCCCCAAGGGTCAGTCCTCGGACTGATCCTATTCAACTTATTCATAAATGATCTGGAGAAAGGGGTAAACAGTGAGGTGGCAAAGTTTGCAGATGATACTAAACTGCTCAAGATAGTTAAGACCAAAGCAGACTGTGACAAATTTCAAAAAGATCTCACAAAACTAAGTGATTGGGCAACAAAATGGCAAATGAAATTTAATGTGGATAAATGTAAAGTAATGCACATTGGAAAAAATAACCCCAACTATACATACAATATGATGAGGGCTAATTTAGCTATAAGAAGTCAGGAAAAAGATCTTGGAGTCATCGTGGATAGTTCTCTGAAGATGTCCACGCAGTGTGTAGAGGCAGTCAAAAAAGCAAACAGGATGTTAGGAATCATTAAAAAGGGGATAGAGAATAAGACTGAGAATATATTATTGCCCTTATATAAATCGATGGTACACCCACATCGGGAATATTACGTACAGATGTGGTCTCATCTCAAAAAAGATATACTGGCACTAGAAAAAGTTCAGAAAAGGGCAACTAAAATGAATAGGGGTTTGGAACGGGTCCCATATGAGGAGAGATTCAAGAGGCTAGGACTCTTCAGCTTGGAAAAGAGGAAACTAAGGGGGGATATGATAGAGGTATATAAAATCACGAGTGACGTGGAGAAAGTGGATAAGGAAAAGTTATTTACTTATTCCCATAATACAAGAACTAGGGGTCACCAAATGAAATTAATAGGCAGCAGGTTTAAAACAAATACAAGGAAGTTCTTCTTCATGCAGCACACAGTCAACTTGTGGAACTCCTTACCTGAGGAGGTTGTGAAGGCTAGGACTATAACAGTGTTTAAAAGAGAACTGGATAAATTTGTGGTGGTTAAGTCCATTAATGGCTATTAGCCACGATGGGTAAGGAATGGTGTCCCTAGCCTCTATTTGTCAGAGGATGGAGATGGATGGCAGGAAAGAGATCACTTGATCATTGCCTGTTAGGTCCACTCCCTCTGGGGCACCTGGCATTGGCCACTGTCGGTAGACAGGATACTGGGCTAGATGGACCTTTGGTCTGACCCGGTACAGCCGTTCTTATGTTCTTATGGTTAAAGGGGGACCGGTTCTTCAACCCAAAGAGCATGAGTCTGAGGAAGTTCAGCACCCTAGGAATGCATTCCCAATGTCTGCCCAAGTCCTGCCCCCAGAGAGACGGGCAGTACTGTGTGGGTTATGATGCCAGGTACAGTGGTGTGGTGCTGGGCTGAATAGGGGTCTACTTATTCTATGCCACCCTTACTTCTCCACTGCTGCTGGCGGCAGTACTGCATTCAGAGCCAGGTTCCCGGCCTGCATCTGCTGCTCTCTGCCCTCCCTTCAGAACTGGGCAGCTGGAGGGACACAAACTACTACAGACATAGATACATTTGAGAACCACTGGTTTAAAATATAGAAAGGTCACAACAAAAAACTTCAATGTTCTCAAACTTGCACTTGAATACAAAACCTTAACAGTGACCTCCTCTGCTTTTGTATCAACAGATCAGCATCTTCTTGTTACACATTCCATGCACTTGGGATGTTCTTCTGCCTTAACGCTGCTGAGATCATTATGTCAGCCCTTGTGAAGACTGTGAGCTGTAACACGATGCAGTCAGTTCTTTGTGTCTATATCTTATTCTCATTTAAAAGTTAATGTTGTAGTTATGTTCCTGAAAAAATTTGCGACTTTAAGCAAAACGATGTTAAGCAAATCCAATTTCCCCATAGGAATTAATGTAAATTAATGTAAATGGGTGGGTTAGGTTCCAGGGAATTTTTTTCATCAGACAAAAGACTATATTATATATATAGATACACACACACACATATATATGTATAAGTTTTAACAGTATAAGTTTTAAACAAACAATTTAATACTGGCACACAGCTATGCTGATTGTGAAGCTTGGTGGTGAAGTCAGAAGGTGGGATATTTCCTAGGGAATGCCTTACTGCTAAATGATGAACTAGCGATCAGCTGAATCCTCAAGGGTTAACGCATTGTTGTTAATGTAGTCTCACACTCTACAAGGCAGCACGAATGGAGGGAGGGGAGACAGCATGGCAGACAGACACAGAGACACACCGTGTGTGTGAGAGATGCGCATTGCCCCTTTAAGTACGCTGACCGCAATCTAAGTACACTGCCTTGTTAAGTAGATCCGCAAGTTGAGACAGTAGCTGCTGCCAGGAAGCTCCCTCCGTCCTGAGCCCTGTCCTGTCTCCCCTCTGCCCCCGCTCTATGGAGATAAGGGGTAAGCAAGGTGCAGGAGCAGTGGGGAGGGGGACATCCTGACATTAGCCCCCTTTCATCCTCCCCTGCACAGCCAGCAGGAGACTCTGGGGAGCAGCTCCAAGGCAGAGGGCAGGAGCAGCACAGGGCAGTGAAGGCAGGGACAGCTGAACTGCCAGCAATTGATAGCCTGCTGGGCAGCTGCTGTACAGGGAACTTAGAGTAGCAGGGAGCTGATAGGGGGGCTGCCAGTCCACCCTGGTTCCAAGCCCCACCAGCTAGCTTCAACGGGCTGCTCTTCCTGCAAGCAGTGGACAAAGCAGGCAGCTACAAAATGATGTTATAAGGGAGCATTGCGCAACTTTAAATAAGCATGTTCTCTAATTGATCAGCAATGTAACAACAAAACAGTGTTAACTGGGACAACTTTAAGTGAGGAGTTACTGTACATGAAGAACAATGCTCCATGTTCAGCAGTGACACATCTCCTGGCAGATGGAGGGAACCTTCACCAAGGGGTCTGTGTGATCAATAACTTCCAAACTCACTCCATTGACTCTCTTGTAGACTTCTGTAAACAGAATAGCTCTAGATGCTGTGGAAGCAGCATGGCACATGCCTGTATTCCAGTAGCAGGTCTGCCCATTGTAGTTGGGGAGGGGGAAACACTTTCACTGACATAAAAGGGAACACAAAATATTGAGCCAAGTTCTCATGCAGAGTGGATCTCAACTCAGGTTTCTGCTCTACCTGCATGTATGCAGAGGATCTCTTTGTCCTCTGTTGCTATAGTAGATAATGATGAACTGTAACAATTAACATAAAATAGTTAATTACATGTTGCTTTAACTTCCCATCCAAGATGCATTATAATACAGACACACACAATGCAGTCACTATATAGTACCTCTTAACAACTGCTTTCACGAACATACAGAATTTTTTAAAAATTTATTTAGTTAGGCAAATAGCCTTCCAGACTCAAGAACAAAGAGCCTGATCACTTTCATACATTTTAAAACACAGACACTTATAAAATATAGTTCAAAGCTCACTAAAGCTGCTTCCAGACTGAGCCTAGTTCAAAGGAATATTACCTGCAATGAATGTGCAGCCTTTACCCAGGGTTTCCAAGAAGAAACAGATCAGCATCTGTGAAAGGAAAACTGTTTAACCATCTAGTGACTTTAGAACTGGAATCCAAACATTAAAGAAACCACAGTAACTTCCAAGAAAGAAACACAATTCTATTTTTCTGTGATATACAGGAGGTAGTTTACACCCGGATTCTCAAAGATTTGTAGGTGCCTAACTGCCATTGATTGATATCTTTGAGGATCTGGGCCTTGGATACTCATCCGCACCAGTAAAAGGCTAGACTAGGGCAGGGACACAACTACAAGAGATCTAACTCAATTGCTGAAAAGTCCTTCTCTCCTACTTGTTGTTTGAATATACTGCTCTAGAGGCTACTGTCTGCTTTGGTTTCTTAAGCTCATTTTACCAAGGTAAAGGCAAGTCTCCAAGATAATCGTCTGACCCAAGAAACCAAAGTATAATGACACACAAAAAGTAGCAGCAATTGTAACATGAAGCCAGATCCTTAGCTTGGGTAAAACTGTTGCAGCTCCATTGAAGCAACACTAGTTTACTTCAGCTAAGTAGTTAGCTGAAGATCAATATGTAGACCAGTGGAGAAGACACAACACCTCCAGAATTAAGCTTACCAGCAGGATGAAAATTCGGAAGCACTGACTCCTGTCTGGAAATCAATTAACCTGAGGTACTTAACATGTTTGTATTGGACACCCAATGTGTTTGTTCTTGGTTACAAATGTTTGTTCTTTACCTTATGTATCAGCACATGAAAGACACCTGTTAGGTCACGTATAGTTTGTTCCCTAGGGGCCATTGCAGGAAGTTTTCTAGTGCTTCATCCAGCCTAGTTTTAGTGTTTTCAAATATTTAGATGGGCAGAAGTGCTATTTTGGCTTTTGTTTTTTAAGGAACAAGGCGGCAGTTAAAACAGCAGCATGCCACTAATAATGGGTCATCTACACATGGAGCTACACTGGAATGCTTTAAATTTAAAACTTACCATTATCCTAGAATAATTTTCATGTGTTGACATGCCCAACTGAACCTCAGTAACCATGTTATCATTACTCTCTCCCACTTCCCTCCTTCTTTGTTGATATACTCACTTGCTGCATCTTGTCTCAAAGCTAGATCCTGCAGATACATACACCCCCACTAACCTTACTGACACAGTCCTATTAACTTCCAGTTGGGCTGCTCACATGAGTAAAAAGCAACATAGGGTCCTGTGGCACCTTTAAGACTAACAGAAGTATGCCTTTATCTACAGAAGGCGCCCCAGGGGACTACTTCTGTTAGTCTTAAAGGTGCCACAGGACCCTCTGTTGCTTTTTACAGATTCAGACTAACACGGCTACCCCTCTGATACTTGACACATGAGTAAAGTTACTCACACACACCTTTGCAGGATGTAGGCTCTTCAAGGTAAGAGACTATGACAACTGCACAATGCCTAGCACAACGGGGTCTGACCCCAATCAAAGCCTTTGGGGGCTACCATAATATTTGTGATCAGAACTCAATACACATTCATTGTTAGTCACTGAATTTAGCATTTCCTACTGCACTCCTTCATCTAGAAGTGCATGTGGAATCCAGTGAGCCCTGTTAACAATGAAAAAGATGCCAAGACAACTTGGGTTATAACTTGTGATGCCAATCAGTAGGTAGTGAGTGTTACATTTCAGTACCCTTCTAAATATGCTTATGCTATCCAGCTTCATAGCAGTCTGTGACTCCTGGGGACTGGCTCCTGAATCTCCTTGGGGGGGGGGGGAGGGGACAAAGGGTGTTCCGATTCAATATTGGGAGACAAAACAGGAATATAAAGCTATAATTTCTCTGTCTATTCCTCAAGAGGCTTGAGAGAACCACTGCAGGGTCCCAGGGGAAGGGACTGCTTTGCAGACACGCACCCCTGTCCTGTCCCCAGTTTAACTAAAAACTTTTCCCATCCCCTGGAGCGCCTTCTGTAGCTAAAGGCTTCTTCTGTGAACTCTCCCGGGTGCACCCCTCTGCTCCACGCCTGGCTCTCACACCAAGCCGCGTCAACCGGAGAGTCCAGAAAGCTGCACACACCCTAACATGGGGGCTCCCGCAGGCTGCGCTGCTGGGTGTGTTGCGGGGAAAAGGGAAGCTGTGTTTTTTGCGTCTGACTGCCCAGTGCTGGTCACACCCGTAAGCCGCCTGCGCCTGCCAAGGATCGGGTGCACCCCCAGGTCAGGGGGAACCCGCAGAAGGGTCGCTGGGACAGATCATTGTGAAAGGGCCGGAAGCTCGGCCCGCAGAGGGAAGCGCTCAGGGCGGATTTCCTCTCCCCGTTGTTCTGGGGAGCGCGGGTCTCCTGCACGGCCGGGGGCAGGAGAAGAAAAGCACCAAAGAAACTTTCCTAATAACCCTCTTCCCAGCGCTGGTCCCCACCTGCGATGGGTGGAGCGGGGCATAAAATATCAGAGCGGGGTGCAAAGTCCCAGCTCCGGACCGGGTGACCGATTGAGAGTGAAACCGAAAGTTAAAGACACGCCCTGCAAACAGCTGGCAGCCGGGGCAGGAAGGTGCCAAATCGCCACATACACTTACCTCAGCTAATAGCAACCCTAGGGCAGAGCCCAGGGCTGCTAAAGACACTGGTGAATCATTTCCGCTGCCTACCCTCCCCGACAGCGCCTTGCTCTATAGTCCCAGCTCCTCCCCAGGGCAGGTCTACATTAAGCCCAGCCCATCAGATCAGGTTCAGAGGGGTAGTCCTGTTAGTCTGTATCCACAAAAACAATGAGGAGTCCAGTGGCACCTTCAAGACTAACAAATTTATTTGGCATAAGCTTTAGTGGGTTAAAAACCCACTTCTTCAGATGCATGGAGTGAAAATTACAGATACAGGCATAGATATACTAGCACAGGAAGAGAAGGGAGTTACCTTCCAAGTGGAGAACCAGTGTGGACAAGGCCAATTCAGTCAGGGTGAATGTGGTCCACTCCCAATAATTGATGAGGAGGTGTCAATACCAAGAGAGGGTAATCAATGATTGGGAGTGGACCACATCCACCAGACTCCTCGTTGTATATCTATGAAACCACTACACAGAAACCAACAATACTTTTGTATGGGCCTGATCCAACACCAACTGAAGTCAATGGAAAGACTCCAGTTGACTCCAAGAGGCATTTAGATCAGGTCCTATGTGAACAGAGTGTGATTCTGGTGATTTTGGTATCCCTTTATTATATTGTGCTTAGATTTGTAAAATAAATAATGAACAAAAAGCTTATTTCTCTATGATAATTTAGGTAA